TCAAAAGCAAAAACAAGCTCTCGATAGTCTATGTGGTTTGACCATTTGGGTATTGTTTGTTTTACAATTTATTATTTTGTTTGGGGTTTTCAAGAAAGGGTTTCTCTGTAGCTCTCTGTCTGTCCTGGTGTTTCGAGGTTAGTCTGGTCTACAGAGTTAAGCAACAGATGTTTAAAAGAGTAAGAGTAACTACACTGGGCTGGAGAGATGGGCTCATCGGTTAAGCGCATTGTCTGTTCTTCCTAAGTTCAATTCCCAGCAAGCACATAGTGGCTCACAACCATCCATAATGAGATCTGGTGCCCTCTTCTGGTGTGCAGACGTACATGCAGGCAGAACACTGTATACATAATAAATAAACAAATCTTTAAAAAAAAAAAAGGTTAAACTTTCTTAAAAAAAAATAATGGTAACTACACTAACTCACATGTTGTTTCTATGCGTAGCATTATTCCAGAAAGCCCCGACTTGGCCTACGGATTGCTGCCAGGCCGCCCTGTGCCCGCACTGTTGACAGGCAGTGTTAACAGTTAGTTGTACACTCTAAGGCGGTAGCTGTGGTGACGCGAAGTTGATTTTTGCTGACAGCACTGCCTGCCTGTGGATCCCTTAGGGCCGACCATGAGAGGGGCCACGCTGAGCTCAGGCCTTCTCCTGGGTGAGGCTCTACTGTTGCTGGAGGTCTCCCTCCCAGAGGTCCCCAGGTTCTTTGCCTCTTGATCAAGGAACCGAAGAGGCACACGCGCGCACACACACAGGATGCAGAGCAGTAAAGGGCTTTCGTCAGAAGCGGAGCGGAGTAGAGAGTACAAACACTACAAAACGGAAGTGGAAGTGGGCCTCCAGGAAGCAGAAAGCTCTGGGGTTCCTGGCCCCTACCCCGGACTTTGCTTCGTGAGCCCCAAAACGGGCATAGTTGGTTGCTAGAGGCAGAGCACAGGTGGTTTTCTGTTTTGTGTGATGGTCTGTTCACTGATCATGCTGCATGACAGGATTTCTCATGATACGTTTGATTTCAGATCTATGTATGCTCAGTCACACATAGTTGTAAGGTAAATAAGTTTTCCCTAAAAGTTCAGAGACATAATTTATCTTATTGAGTATGTACCCCAAACCAGTCTGGGTTGAATCAGTAGGTACCCCTACTTTAGAATATTCTTCAGGATGTGTTTGATCTTAAAATTGGGGGTTTCTACGGCTTGCTAGGGAGTTATAGGATGGAGTGACTGGTACCTTTGTTTGGAGAGGGTTGTGTGTGCAGCGTGATTCGGGGGGAGCCCAGGTTTCTAAGTGCTTTGAAGGGAGGTGTGTGTGTGTGTGTGTGTGTGTGTGTGTGTGTGTGTGTGTGTGTGAATCTCAAGCTAACTGGGGCCCTGGGCTGCTAAGCTAGCCCTATGCTTGCTTGCCTTATTTCCACCGGGATGGCCCCAAGTCACGTGACCAGAGCTAGCCTGCTCTTCACTGCTCTTTGACTTTCTTTTGAGGGCTTCTTAAGTGCTCACAAAACTCCATGCACTCCCCAGCAAGTGCTGACTCTGAATTTCCTGCTGACTTTTGGCACCTGCCTTCCTTCCTGCACCTGACAGCCTGTGCCTTCCATTTCCCAAGGGTGGAAGGAAGTCAGCCGATTAGGTCACAGGAATTGACACCTTCCCAAGGAACCTTTGCATTCCAACCTGACGGATATTTACAAACAGGCAGTTTCAGACTCTCTTTGTTACCTGCTGACTCACACATCCTCCCTTAAGCGGGGTGTTGTCCCAATTCACAGTTTCAGAAATAGAGTTACATAATCGGCCCGTGGCTTCTTCAAGGTTGTAAGTCCAGGAAATTTCAAACTCCATACTGTGTCTTTGGGCACATTATATCGTGTCCTTTGTAGCACAAGGCATTTGAGTGATAGGCTAATGCCATACCGTGTCTGCATTGACAGCTACATCCAAAGGGCATGTGTCAGAAGTTTTGTTTGCAGGGTGTTGTTACCAGGGAGTGGAGAACCTTTAATAGATGGGGTTCATGGGAGGTCCTTAGGTCATCATCGGAGGCAAACCCCCAAAGCACCCTGTGTGTACCCACCATCTCCTCTGCTTTTATGCTCCCTGGCTCATGTTACAAGTGGTTTTCTCTGCAATAAATTCCCACCAAAACCTTTTCTCAGAGGCCTGAAGCAGTAGACTCACCTGGTCTTGTAATGGAAACTTTTAAATTTTTGAGTCAAATTTTTTTTGTCTTCAACTTATTTTATTACATTTTGTGTGTGTGTGTGTGTGTGTGTGTGTGTGTGTGTGTGTGTGTACGGGGTGGTGTGGTGTGACACCTTTACACAAGCTGGAGTCATCAGAGAGGAAGAAGCCTCAGCCTAGGAAGGGCCTCCATGATATCCAGCTGTAAGGCGGTTTCTCAATTAGTGTTCAGTAGGGAGGGTCCAGCCCATGGTGGGTGGTGTAGTCCCTGGCCCGGTGGTCTTGGGTTCTGTAATAAAGCAGCTGAGCAAACCATGGGAAGCATCACCCTCCATGGCCTCTGTGTCAGCTCTGTCTCTGGGAGCCTGGCCTGTTTGAGCTCCTGTCCTGGCTTCCTTAGATGATGAACAGCAATGCTGAAGTGTAAGCCAGATAAACCCTTTCCTCCCCAACTTGCCTTGCCTTTTGGTTATGGTGTTTTGTTGGCAGCTATAGAAACCCTAACTAAGACAGTGTGTGTGTGTGTGTGTGTGTGTGTGTGTGTGTGTACTTGTGACCACAGCATGTGTGCGGAGGTCAGAGGACAACTTGTGAGAGTTGGTTCTCCCCTTGTGCAGTAAGGATCCTGTGAAAAACAATAGCCCTCACTTCAGAATAAGGCTGGAGACTCAGAGTAGCAGAAGTGAGACAGGTGTATTTATGACTCTGCAGAAGCCAGGCATCCGCCTGGATACAAGGTAAAACACTGATTTTTCCACTCCTGATTGCATTTCCCTGACCATGGTTCCCCAGTGGCTGAGCTCTTTGGGGAGGTACAGTCTTTACCATGTGTGTAGTGTCGTTCTCACCCAAGACTCCCATCCACCGCAGGATGAAGATCTCCTACCCTTTTCTGATACTTGGGCTCAGCCACAAAACAGAGTGCAACTTTTCAATACTAAGATAAACTATAAAAGACCCAGGTCAGCAGTGCTGGCTGCTAGGTAGGGAAGGCAGAGGCCCAGTGGCTCTTGGTATCTGGGATTTGTGGGTGAGCACTAAATGCACTTCGCACTGAAAATGGCCCATCATGATTTATTTCTCTTTCTTTTTTATTAATTTTTAAAATTTTGTTTTACATACCGACCACAGTTTCTGAACCTCCCTCCTCTCCTCCCTTTCCCTCCCCCATCTCCTTTCTACCCCCCATCCACTCCTCAGAAAGGGTAAGGCCTCCCATGGGAGTCAACATAGCTTGGCACATCAAGTTGCATTAGGACCAAGCTCTTCCTCCCTGCATCAAGGATGAGCAAGGCATCCCACCACGGGGAATGGGTTCCAAAAAGCCAGCTCATGCACCAGGGACAGATCCTGGTCCCACAAACAGACCAAGCTATGCTACTGTCATCCATATGCAGAGGGCCTTAAAGAAGAAATGATTTGTTTCTTACAGTCCCAGGGACTGAACTCTGGCTGTCAGGTTTTGAGGCAAGTACCCTTGACATGCTGAACTATCTCACTGTTCCTTGTTCAAGTTACTCTATTGCAGTCATGGAAATATGATTGGTACAGGTGGAGAGTTCAGGTATTGGAGAACGCTGACAGGGAGGAGTTTGAAGCCGGCTTAAAGGGAGGGATGGGAGAGCATGGGATAGTGATCATTAATCCCTTCCAATCACATCGAGCAGGAAGGGCTTGCTCCTTCATATGCCTGCAAGCAGAGGGTCACAGCTCCCTCACAGACTCACAGCTGGTGAGGCATGCATTCATCAAGAATTGCCCCAGGCTTCCTCCACAGTGGTAATCCACAGACACAAACACAGGCATCCTTTACACGCTCTCCAAGGCAAGAAGCATTAAGCGAATTCTGCAACATCTTAGAAGAAAATATGTGAGAATCCACAGACACAGCAAGGCTTGTAAACCTTTCCTAGCCCTGGAGTACGTGGGAGAAGAGAGGGGCCAGGATTGGCTGTCACATAAAGTCCTGAAGCATGTTGTAGGGGCAGCAGGGATTCTGGACTGCTGTCCTTCACAACCAGACAGATCCTCAACTACCCCGTCTGAAGACAGCGTCCACCTCTCCCCTCTCCCCTCTTCCCACAGGCTGTCACGTGTCCATTTTCGTGACTTGGTTACTTGTCTCTGACATTAGAATGCAACTTGGAGTGACAGCTGCCTTACCTATTGTGACTGTATCCACAGAGACTTGCATAACATCTATACATACCCTGAGGTCATAAGGATGAAGGAAGGAAGGAGAGATGATGAATCCCATTGTTATGGTTTGAATACAAAGCAGCTATCAAGGCTCATGTATTGAAGATTTGGTTCTTCAGATGGGGGGATTCAATAACCGAGAAGCTATTGGTTCATCAGGCTATGACATGACCCATAGATGAACTCACTAGTAGATTCAGTTAGCATTATTGGGAGGAGGTGGGAACTCTGGGAAGTGGGGCTTGTTAGAGAGAGGAGGAGGTCATAGAAGACCCTTTTCACTGCCAATATTTTGACCCTGGCCAATTCCCCCACCCCCCTGCTTCCTGGCTGCCTCGAGGTGAACAGCCTCCTCTACCACCTGCTGTTATCACAATACATTCTGCCTCATCACAGCAGGGCAGCCACTGATTATGAGCAAAAATGAAAGATTCTCCTGTAAGTCATTTCTCTGAAGCGTTAGCCACAACAATGGCAAGCCTGTCACATCCTCATTAACCAATTACTCATCTTGCCATCTTGGAGGATTTATTAAAAAACTTCAGTTCTTGAATGTATAAAATTGGATAGCAGACAGAGAGCATTGAATTAATATGCATTCCAGTGTTTAAGATAAACTTCTTTTTAAAATTTATTTTTATTTTTAATTATGAGTATATGAGTGAATTTGCATATAGGTACATGCATGTGATTACAGATGCCTCAGAAGCCAGGGGTATCAGATCACTCTGGACCTGGAGTTATAGCCGTTCTGAGTCACCTGATATGGGTGCTGGGAATTGAACTTGGGTCCTTTGCAGGAGCAGTCCATGCTCTTAACTGTCCAGGCATCTCTCCAGCCCCACGGCAGGTGTTGTTTCAGTAGTTTAATCAACAGAAGAAATCAGACAGCATGATCATATTTTGCACACACACACACACACACACACACACACACACACACACTCCCCTAAATATATCCTGTTCATTCCGTACAATGTGACTTGCTTACATGTTTTCAGGGTTGACTGTTTGGCACTGGACAATCAATTGGTGTGCTTTTCCGGGAAGGGGGGCACCTTTCAGGCTCCCAGCTTTCCTGAGTTGCCTGTCGATTATGTGTAGCATTTAGGCATCCTGGAATTGTCTAGTTTGGTGTGCTCATTGCTGGTGCCCTTGGTTAGCTCACTAAGCTTTGTGGAACTGCTGCTGGGCATAATGGCTGCTTTCTAACAGGTGCTTTGACTGAGTTTGCATAGACCAGGATTTGTGCCCAGCACACGGAAGCAGGAAGAGGCTTCTAGGTAGGGAGCACGGTGGGCTTAAAGGTTTGATAGCTGGAAACACATGTTATGCTCAAGAGAAAAGCCTGAGAAGATGGTGGAGTGAACAGATTTGGGGAGTGTTTCTTGAGGCAAACACTTCAGAAGGGAGAGGGCTGTTTCTAGAAGTTTCAAGATCAGGGTCTGACCACCGGGTACCAAAGTGTGTGGAAGCGTGTGTCTCTGGGAATGAGTCATAGCACAGGGAGGTTGGAGCTGAGTCTGGCTGGAAGATGCTGAAGACATCACGCCAGAGCAGGAGTGGAAAGGAGACTGAGGCTGAGCGAGCGCCGTGAGGGTCCTAGTCACCTCTCTTCACTGGAGTCTTAGTCACTTCCTTTCACTGCAACCGAATGCCTGAAATGTTATAAAGAGAACATTTGGTTTTGGGTCACAGTCATGAAAATTGCACTGTGTGGTTGACTGGCCCCAATTGCTCTGGGTCTGTGGCAGGGCAGCCCGCCGCAGTGGCAACACGTGGCAAAGGAGAAACCACTCACCCTATGGCCAGGGGAACAAAGAGAACAAGGAGGGTGGGGGGCGCCGCAGTCCTCTCCAAAGTCTAGCTTCTGAACACTGAAAGGCATGTTTACTATTTTCCCTTTCACAGCCTCCCAATAGCACCGCCCACAGGAGCACCTGAAGTTCTGGGAAGTACGGAGTCTACCATCAGCCCCTGAGCCATCTCTCCAGCCCTCACTTGGGTTTCGGGGAGCAAATAAGGTACAAGCTACAGCACGTGGGTCATGATAAATATGGTGCGAATGAGATACACGAGGCGGTATGGGCTGAAAGGTGGCGTGGACCGACATGGGTGTGCTTCCAGGGAAAGCAACCGCGCAGGCCTGCCAGCTGTGCTCAGCAACAGGGAGAAGAGCGGGATTACCACTGCTGCTTCAGTAAGATCTATCAGGCCCAGGCAGCAGTGGGATTGGAAGTCCTAACACACAGCATTGTCTTTGCATCCATCATCCACGGGCCTGGGGCCCAGCTTCCCCCTGTAGCACAAATAATAATAACCCAGAGACAGATATTGGGGTTAAAGTTGAAGATCAGAGAAGCAAAGCAGTTAGGCACTAGAGAGTTCTCACCTCTACCAATGCTCAGGCCAAAGGGGGCGATCCTGTGCTCAGACTGTATCTCCAGACTGCATCCTCAGATTGCATCCGCAGACTGCATCTGTCTCCACCAAACCTCAGACTGCACTGAGCTCCTGTCTTATATTCCTCCCTAGTGCTGGGATTAAAGGCGTGGGACCCCAAATGCTGAGATCACCTTTGTGTGAGCTCTGTTTCCCTTTTAGACTGGATCAATTTCGTTTAGTTCAGGGTGGCAGGGTGGCCTTGAACTCACAGAGAACCCTCTGCCTCTGTCTTCCGAGTGCTGTGTGTGCCACCGCTGCCTGGCTCTATGGCTAAATAATGTGGTTAGTTTTGCACTCTGATCTCCAGGCAAGCTTTATCAGTTAGATCATTAGCAAAATATCGCCACATCCTCCAGTACCTTGGAGGCCCCTCAACACTCTCCAGCCATTCTCCAGCCTGTGGAATGCCCATGGGGAATGGAGTCTCCTGGGTGGCAAGGCTGACCATGACTCTCGATTTTGTGACAGAGTGTTGGGTGTACCACTGGGCAGTCATGTTTCCTTGCTGAGTGGGGGGCAGGATGCCTACAGAGGGCCAGGGTAGGACTCTATAGGACTAGGCCTAGCTTCTTAGGCCCGAGTGCTTACATGTTAATTCTGCTTTACTACCTACCAGCACTCATTTGTGAAATGAATGATTACAGCAGGGAAAAAAAAAAGGCCATGGGATTGTCTACTTTCTTCCAATAAAGGGGCTCCTTTAGAGATGAACAAAGATACACTTGAATTAAATGTTACTCTCCTCTGGAGGAAACACCTCGGGGCTGGCAAACCCTTTCTTGACGGTATCGGCCCAGAGCCAAGCTTGGCCATGGAGTTAGCACTCTCCTGGGCCAGAACCTATTTCATAGCCTTCATTTTTCTCTCTCCCCGGCTTTTGCTGAGCTCAGCTTTGTGCCAGTCAGGGGGATATTCAAGATCAGAAGAAATGATATTCTAGGGAATTAGTGAAAGCGCTGCCACCTGAGTGCCTTTTCCCACTGCATTTTCCTTGTTTGGTTGATTAAATTTAACCATCAGAGGCCTCGGCATGATCAGGGAGCAGGGGCCGGGAGAGCACACAGCTGCAGGTCTGCTGTGGGCCCAGTCTTGCCAGTGGTGGTGTCCCATCTAAGTCATGGCTCTTTCTTCCCAATCAAGGCTGGTGTTTGTAACTCTTTAGAACAGACCCATCAGCTGTGACAGTCACTAAGGAAACAGTTGAAAATGGACTCAAAGGACTCCAACTCTGCTGTTCTCCCATAGCTCAGCTGCACTGCCCTTGCTAGGTCACTTGACTGTGGAAGGTGACATCATCTTCTATAAGAAGGGAGCCCTCTGCCCTACCTCAATGGGTGTTTGGAGGGTCTAATGAGCCATTGCAAGGCGAAGTCCTCCCACTGGAGTACAATGGGAGAGTATTATCCCTGAAGTGCCAGCCACTGGCAGCTCCGTGGAGGACGACTTTGCTATGGGGAGGGTGGAGATGAAGGTATAGAGGGTTAAGACAGGGATCTGAAAGCCAGTCAGATACAGGAGGGACAGGAAGAGGTGTAGCAAGCTCTTAAAAGAAATGAAAGGCGACTGGACTTCAAGATGCTCCAGTAGTAAACACCAGGCTGGCAAACAATATACCGGCAAAATTAATGCGGTACCATACAGGAGTCTTGTTTTTTTAAATTACACTTACTATTTTACCGTTCAGCTCCCGCCTTAATAGGAATAAAGAAACCCAAGCAGTCTGGCTCTCTCCTTCTGTCTCACTTCAGAAGTACTCCCCTAGACCTCTTCTCCTCAGTTCCCCCAGGACTCCCCGGGCTCACCCATCTTCTTCTGAGCTTTCACGGTCCTCCTGGTTCCTCTGGAACCCCCTCCTCTCAGTTTGCTGACGTCTCACCTCCTATTCTCTAAGGTCTGGCGATAGAAGTCACATCCTTAGAGAAGTCGCCACCTTCAACAACTCCCCAACATTTCTCGCCATCCTGTTGAGAATAGGAAGTAGAAACTGGCCAGGTGGGGCAGTGTTCCCAAAGCTGCAGTTCTGAGAACGCTGGCTCCTGGTTTCATGTCACTTCTTACCCTGTCTGGAAGGCATACATGAAGATGTGGCTAAAACAGGGAGGAGACACCTGGGCACCTTAGGGTGAGGTCAATGCCACTGGCCAGATCACCCTCCTCCCGTGTTTTACCCCAGTTCCTGCCATAAGGTTTTGAAATGCCCCAGAACAGCAGGTACCTGCAGTTGGTATCTATCCTTGGCTGTTTCCTGTTGCACAATAGTCCTGCCTTCTCCCTTTCTCTCACGCTCCCACCTGTGACTCTACAACACACTTCTTTCTACAGTTTACCCTCCATGCTCCGTGAGACAAGAATGCCAAATCCTCTGGCTTAGGATGGTTTGATATATTGAATTTTCTAGAACCCTTGTCCCCTAAGTCCAGCTCACCAATAGCCAAAGAAGTCTCTGTTGAGCTCTGCAAGCTCAAAGCCAACTCTGAATTTTCCCATCACAGTACCTCTTTTCTGATTTATCACTGTATAATCATTCACATCCTCTTCCTCCTAATCATTACTATTTATTTTTGTCACCAGCCCTTATCTCTACTTAACACAAATGAATTTTAATTGTTCAGAGTGTGCTTCATTTGTATACCATGGCTAGAGCACAAAGTCTTTGAGGGCAGAAGTGTTTGTCTACTTAACTGCTATACTTCCAGCTGTAGGAATGACAGTGTTCTCGTAGACAGTAAATATTTATTGAATGAGTGAATGGAAAACAGAACTGTGTGGGTTTCTTCAGGGTTTGATTGTATTTCTGGAGGTGGCCACCAGTGATATAATTTAATCCCCCACACCAATTCCAAATTCTAGCCCTCGTGTCTTTTGATGAGACACTTTCCTACAAATAATTTGTTCTTGAGTTTTGATCTAAAGCAGTTCACCAAAGTGCATGGAAATCTAAGCCTCATTGAGCACTGTGGGCCTCCGGGTAGCTTAGCCCATACACAATGCCCCCCCCCCCAGCTGAAGATAGACCGAGCCCTTTTTGGATCATTTCCTGAAGACATATCCTTTGGCCTGTGATACTGGGAAACTACACTGGAAGCAGGTGCACAGGAAATTCATGGTGAGGAGAATTCTGTGATTGTCTCTGAACTGTGGTCTATGAAGGGCTCCAAGTTTCTTTTCCCCTTTTTAAATTGAAAATAGATTTTTTTCTTAACATAATATATTCTGATTACAGTTTTCATTCCCCACTATTCCTCCTACTTCCTTCTCACTGTCCCCCCGCCCCCCATCAAAATCCACCCTCTTTAGAAACCAAGCTGGCTTCTAAGGGATAATAATAAAATCCAATAAAATAAGGAAAATAAAAAACAATACATCAGAATAGGAAAAACAAAACAAAACAAACAGAAGGAAAAGGGCTCAAGAAAAGGGACGTGAAACAGGGTATAGATGCACACTCAAGGATCCTGTAAAACACTAAACTGGGGGCTTTAATATATACACAAAGGACTGAAAGTTAAGAAAAGAGAAAAACATATAAATGAAAAAAAAACAGCCCTGGCATGACATCATGAGATAGGAAACCTCCAATGATGCTGTTCATTTCCTGTTGGCCATCTACTGCTGGGCAGGTATGCAGCCTTCCCTTAAGAGTAGTTTGGCTATTATAAATAATGCTGCTATGAACATAGTTGAGCAAGTGTCCTTGTGATATAATTGAGCATCCTTTGGGTATATGCCTAAGGTTGATATAGCTGGGTTTTGAGATAGATTGATTCCCAATTTTCTGAGAAAACACCATACCGATTTCCCACGCAGGGATGACTCGCACAGCCTTAATGCAGGAGAAGGAGCTTGGTCTTGCCTCCAAGTGATATGATATGCTTTGTTGACTCCCATGGGAGGCCTGCCTCTTTATGAATGGAGGAATGGACGTGGGGGAGGCAGGAGATGGGAGGTGGAGAGAGGGGAGGGAGAAGAGAGGAGGGAGGAGAAAGTGTGGTTGGTATGTAAAGTAAATGAAAAATTTAATAAAAATAAATTTAAAAAAGAATAGTTGATTTCTCCAGTGAGACTCGCTTGGAGGAAATAAAATTTCCATTTGCAAGTGGCTGTCAATTGGAGATTGCATCTGGGTTAGAGATGGGGCATGTTTCCACTTCTCTTGTCAGCTCTAGGACTCCTCTGATGCAGGCTCTGTGCATGCTGACCCAGTCTCTGTGAGCTCATATGTGCATAGATCCTGTTGACTCAGAGAGCCTTGTTCTCCCAGTGTCCTCCATCCCTTCTGACTCCTACAATCTTTCTGCCTCCTCTTGCACAGGGTTCCCCCAAGCCTTGAGAGGAAGGATCTGATAGAGACATCCCGTTTAGGGATGAGTGTTCCAACGTCTCTCATTCCTTGCATAATGTGGGTTTCTGTAGTCTGTTCAGGAGGAAGCTTCTCTGATGATGGCTTAGCAGGACACTGATCTATGAGTACAGCGGAATGTCATTAGGAGTCATTTTATTGCTCTTTTTTGTTTGTTTTTAGACCAGTAGTATTTGGTTTTACCCTAGTCCCCATGCTCTCTGGATCACTCAAGCAGTGTCAGGCATGCGGTCCATCTCGTGGAGTGAGCCTCGAGTCAGACCAGTTATTGGGTGGTTAGTCCCGCAAACTTTGTGACACCATTGCACTAGTATAGCATGATGGCAGAATACCAGTGTAGATCAAAGGGCTCATGGCTGGGATGGCATTGACCTCTCTTCTTTGGTTGCTTGCAGAGTGCCTTCCTGTACCAAAGATGCTAGCTTATAGGGGTGAAGGCTCTCCCCATGGGCACCAGTTCTGGTTCCCCATGTTCAATCAGTTGTATGAGTACTGTCTTCAGCAGTGGGGCCTTGCTGTCAGTTTTGTGGAGAGTAACCTATAGTCTTGGCAACAGCCTCGGTTGTTAGGGGATTCCCATGGGACACGTTTGGCCAATGTCTCAGTTAGATGCAACCCAATCCTGGTACTAGAAGCTTCATTTGGTGACAAGAGATGTCCAGTTGGGACTCTGTCTACACCATTATTTGGTGAGTTTATTTAGATCACCTTTATATATGTGTCCATTTTATGAAGATTCCACTGTATCAGGTTTTAATATGGTTTCTCATATGGCCCTTAATTTTAGTTGTTTCTCTCTTCTTTCCAATTTCAGCCCCCTATTCTAGTTCACCATGATCCATCCATAAGTACCTTCTATTTCTTTTATCTAGGGAGATCGTCTGTTCCCTTTTAGTCCTTTACTCTACACCAGACCTCAGCGGTTCTATGGATTGCAGCTTGGTTTTCACTGACTTAACAGCTAATATCCGTATATAGTCAAACACATATCATATTTGTCTTTCTGGGTCTTTATTAATCTCAGGATAATTTTTCTAGTTCCATCTATTTACCTACAGATTTTATTTTTTAAATAACTGAGTAATATTCCATTGTGTAACTGTACTGCATTTTCTCAATCCATTAACTATTCAGCTATCGAAGGGCATCTAGGTTTTTTTTCTCTAGTTTCTGGCTATTATGAATAGAGCAGCAATGAACATTGTTGAGCAAGTGTCTTCTTAATAGGATGAAGTGTCCTTTGGGTTTCTTGTAATCTCATAGGCATTTCCTTCTTTGAGCTAGAGAAATTTTCATCTATGAAAATATTTTCCATGCCTTTGTCATAGGTTTCTTCTTCTTCCTCTATTCTATTATTCTAAGATTTGGTCTTACCCTGGTGTGTCAGATTTCCTGGATGTTTTGTGCCTGGATTTTTTTTCTTTAGGTTTTTTTTCTTTGACTGAGGTGTCCATTTCTTCTATCTTGTCTTCAGTGCCAGAGATTCTCCCTTCTATCTCTTGTATTCTATTGGCAAACCTTGGAAGAGAGGAGGGAGAGTGAAGAGTTGAAGCTAGCCTACCTGTTTTGCTGGCCTACTTGTTTCTCTGGCAGCTTGCTGGAGGATGCCTAGGGAATGCTTGCTGGAGGTGGGGGCTGGGAAAACAGGATGAGTGGGGAGTAAGGTTGATAGAGAACACCTGCATGATCCTGTGGAGGTTGGAGAAGAGAGTAGCGGAAGACTGCAGCAGGTGTTCTGTTATAGAGCTGGGGGTGAGACTGGAGGCTTGGATTTGGAGGAGAGGCAAAAGAGGAGAAGATCTGCACCTAGCCTACCTGCTTCCCTGTCCTGGAGTGCGAGTCACCACTTCTTAAACAGGAGGCTGCTTTTCTCTGTGTCTTTCATATTATGTTTTCTTCACTTTACTTTCTTTCCTCTTTCCTTCATTTCTCTTATCATCCCTTCTTTCCCTCAGTCTTCTCTTATGGTTTTCCATGGTTGAGGCCAAAAGTTACTCTCGCCTTAGTAATGTTTAGTGTTCTGGAGTCAATGCTTTGTTACCATGGCCCAGAAATACAAACTTAGGTTACTCCCGAGGGCTCTGTTCCAGTGTGATAACAGTTTTCATGAAGTTTTAGAGTGCAAAGAATGTTGTAAATCAAGACACTTTTTAAGTACCTTTCTGAAAGTGTCAGACAACTGGATACAGGAAAGCAGAGATATCTCTGCTCCCGGCTTCAGATGCTCTCTGATGACCATCTTAGCTTTTGTGTTGGTGGAAGCTAGGGATCTATACATTACGAGAAAGAATTTACCTTATAGTCACAAAGATTTTACATCACGCACAGAGATGGTCAATAAATAACTATTTATGTAGCCAATGGAGCCCAGGATAATTTGGCTCTGAGGCAAACTCTCTTTCCCTAATCACTGAAGCTCGATCCAGTCAGTCAGGTTTGCAGACTGTTTACTGAGTTACGACTTTTTTTTCTGGGAATTTCAGTTCACATCATTCTGTTCTGTTTGCTTCCTTTTCTGAGCACAAGGGATGGCCTAAATCTGTTTTGGATGTAGAGGGTTTGCAGTTGCCTCAAGAGACTTACAGGCACATGCAAGTAAGG